CGTGTTTATAGGACCAGTGCCCACATGCCAGTCGAGCTGGTCATCTGGTGGAGGTACATTGGCCCAGCAACATGGGCGTCCGTCGAATTTGCATGTGAGTGCACTGCCTGGAACATTGAAGAAGCTAAAACTCTCATATTTGACCTCTCAAACTGAACGATTTCAGAAAACGACATTTACGTTATTGCAGGTCTCAATTACCCCACCGTCCCATTTTATACAACGGAAACATGCAGACAAATTCGTTCAAGTACAGTAAGACGCCCTTATTCACCGGACACAAAGGGAGAATCACGACAATGACACTTTTTTCTGCAGCGAATGGTCACCATAGCCTGCTTCGGAACATTTAGCGAGGCAGTTTGAGAAGCTGTTTATGATCACTCACATACATGTTCAGCTTCCAGTACTTGCTAATAAGAGGGCTTTACGAGGAAAAATTACAAAGTTAGCTTTTACTGCTCAAATTCCAAAGATTAGAAAAGTATAAACTAGTAGTACTGGGTGGTGTCTTATTAGAAGAAAATCTTGAGTAGGGATGGCTTCTGTTACGAGCAAACTTTGAAAAAGAGTAGATTCTAATACTCAAAGAGACTGCAAAAGTATGTTTACATTAGGAAAATGTACACAAACACTTTAGAAGTGCAAAATAATGAGCGAAAGAATAATTATTTTCTTGTCATGAATGTTAACTGACTAACATCTCATACATATTTACAAATTAGTTTTTTTCTTATTCTTTCATCATCCATTCATGTGGTTCTTCACTGAGAACGCTGCGACTGTTGGAAGCTTTTCAGTTTGGGAGGTGTAAGGCAGGAATGATGGTAGGAGAGGGATTAATTTGTACGGCATTGCTCTAGTAGGCATATTCAACTCTGCTATAGATAAAAGATTTTCACCAAATAAATGTACCTTAAGTCTTCCAAAAAATCCAAATTTTCTGACATGTTTTTATGAATTACTACAAAATTTGGAGCTCTTCAGGTAAGTAGTTAGTAAAAACCATAACTCCTGAATGGAAGTTTGCATCCGGAGTTTTACGCAAGAATGTAGTCTCAAAGTGATTGACATGAGGATTAACTTCCACAGCACGATACTAATATAAAAGTGGAAACCAGACAGATGAGAAAAAACCAGTTAGAAAGAGACACTGACCGGAATTCACAGGACCTCCTCCCTCGGCATTATATCCATCAGCTCCGAATTCAGTTAGCGTGACTTTGTCACCCAGTCCATCTGAAAAGCCAAAAATGATTTGAGAAAGAGTGACATAAACTAGAGACATTTGATTGGGCGCGGTTGAAACGATTGGTGTCTACATCCGGTAACGTTTAAATCTCATGAAGCGGTTTCGCTTTCCCGACCTAGTTTTTCTCGGTACGGTAATCCTTGGATTCGAGTTTGCTTCTCACTTTCGTATCACAGAGGCGGTGAATGCGGTAGACGTCTCAACTTACTAATTAAACCCGGCGATGCGCGGCCACCTATCTGCACATTCGTTTTTCACGCAGTTGATTGACAAGCTTCAACACGGGAGCGAGACTATGGAGCTACCGGTCGGGGTTGAGGTCTTGATGGATGAGTAAGGGAAAAACTAACAGCAATTGCAATCTATATTATAATGAGGTCGTCAACAGTCGAAGTCTACAGATCAATGGACAAAAAGAGAGCGTGAATATCCTCGCATAACCTTTAAATGTATGCAGTGCATGGTCCATTAGATTTTTGCAACTTTTTGGCGGCTAAACCGATCGTCAGAAGAAGTTTTGTCCATATATGTGAGGTCGTTTTCGTGTGGCCTATTTTCAATGAGAGAAAAAATTCTGCACATAACATTGGTTGAGTTCGCAGAGAAAATCATGTTTGAACGACCTGCCGAGTCAAGTGAAAGTGAGCAGCGTACGGAAATTAAACTTGACCAATTGACCGAGCGGCATGAAGTGAAGAAAGCAATAGTTGCAATAAAATGCAAAAATTAGAGCAACAGCGAATGTAAC